CAAATTAGAAAGGTTAGTCCATTGGCATCAATCCAAGGGTAAGTTCAGTTAACAAAGCAGTTTAGATATATTATGTCTTAAATTAACTATGGGCACTTTTTCTGTCCTGTAATCTTAATATTGACTATTGCAAAATGTATTGAGAGTTCAGACATCCAATCAAGATAGGTACATTCTAGTAACAGTTATCAGATCAGTGAAATGAACATAGGGTTTAATATCAGATTTCCCCTGAAGAACCAAGCATCACTGTATCCATTTAGATGATACCTATGTTATGTTGTGTTACGTTAACAAAGTTGAGACGAGATCAAAAAGTTCTGGAAAGTTGCAGGGAAGGATATGTTGTCCTACGTACATAAGGGTATGTGTGGTCATGACCTGACTCCAGGAGACTAACAGTCCCTGAAATCTGCCCCAACTATCACATAACTTTATGATGCAATAATTATGGCAGGCTGCCATTGGTTATAAACTTCATTTCTAATGTTTTCATAGGATATGTTAAGAGTATTTAACAGTAGCTGACTCCTGAATCAAAGACAATTGTGTTATTATTGAGAGCACATCATGCTCTTTTGTCTGGAATAAGAGTCAGGATAGATTTCTGTCCTTGCTGAAATTATAATTTTAACTAATTAGTTAAAACAAGAAATCAGTGTATCTGTATCTCAGGTTGCATAATATTGAGTGTTTCTGCAGTGTTATAAGAAAAAGTGTTGGTCTATGCCAAAAGATTTTATAGTGTAGGAATCTTGAAACATGCCCACCCAGAACCTTTCTGACAGCACTGAGCCGTGTCTTTATCACTCATGGCTTTTCACACCTGAACTATCAATTTTCAAAAGAGTTTACAGGCAGAGGATTTGACTTTTCCACCATCTGCCTAAACTTCAGCAATATTGGCACACAGCATAGCACATTCAGTCCTCGTCAACAAAATTGTTATCACTTGATTTCAAAACTTGTTCAAACGTTTGCTTAATTGTAAGACGTGGACCCCATGGTTCTCACTTTCTTTTCCTGGCTGCCCTAACCAACTTCAAAACAAATATCAAGCCACCCCTTTAATACCAACAAGGGGCAAACTCCTTTCTGCCCTAGACATCTGGTTATCTTAAATCCAAAATTACCTACTTACATTTTTTGTGTAAAAACCAGAAGGGAAAGTTACCACTGTCTTGGTGGTAACAACAAAACCCCATAACTTGGTTATATAAATGTATTAGTAGTAGGTTTTCTGTGATTTATTTTGCTTTGAGTATAAATCTCCAAGCTTTGCTGATACTAATAATTATGGGGCTGACAGATGTTACTTTTTCCTTAAGAGGCTGCCAACCAATATTACTGCCAACCAATATTACCCAAGAATATCTTTTAGAACATCTGAGATGTATTTGCATATGACATACATGGGAATGTAGAAAAGGAAGACAGCAAAAATGTTTGAACTTTGCCATTTTAAGATACATCAGCCATAATAAAAGGTCCTGCAAAGTAGTCAGAATTTATTTGCACATCTTGATTAATAAACAGGAGTTTGCCTTTAAAATACTCGGGTTAATTCCTGTTTGTCCTTCATCTACTTCATCCTTCATTTTGAAGTGAGCATGCTTCTCAATGTGTATGCAGTGTTGTTTTTTAATTGTTCAGTCACCATTGACTTTTGATACAAAGCTAGGACTTTCCCAGCAGAAATTGCTTTTCCAAGTTCTTGAAACTCATATTTGTATTATCAATTATTGTACCTTCTCATCTTCTCTTTGCTTCTTTTTTGATCACCCTGATTTTTCCAATCATCAGAATCTGCTCAGATGCTCTAATCTTCATGTTATGCCCCAATTATTTAGGCTTTAGCTTCAGCTTTATTATCTGACTTTATCTATTGTCTGTCTGTCTGTCTGTCTGTCTGCCTGCCTGCCTGCCTGCCTGCCTGC